CTTTCTCTCTCTCTCTGGCAAGTTCAGGTGCCCTCTGGCCAGAACAAAAAGAATAGAGTTAATCCATGAGGAATATAGTTAAATGAGGAAATGTTCAGTGTGAATTATGTTATGTAAGTCAGGTAGATTATTCCTTTTTTTTGCTTTCTTTTTTTTTGGAGAGGTTTTTGCTATAGGGTGCATGCACTCACCAGAAAAACAGAGAGAGAGAAAGTGAGAAATCACCCCCCAGGGGGAATGGCCATGCTGCAATCCCTTCTAATCCATTATCCTCTCAGGATCTTGGGCCACACATGCACACAAGCCCGGCATGAGTTTAAGCCACTGGGTCTGGGACTTGAACCATGGTCGATTACATGAGAGTCCAGCGACATAGCCGTTACGCCAACTGCTGGTCCCTCGAGTAGATTATTCTTTATGGTAGCAGTGTTAAAGAACACATTGATGAAAGAAAAGGATGCATATAGAACATGATCAGATAATAAGAATTCTTTATTCATATTTATAGCCCTTGCATTCCTCATAATGAGGTTAGAGACAAAACAATTACAAATAAGACATAACACTCAATATAAATCCTCGAGTCTCAGATCTGGAGGCTTAAAACTCATGCCAGGCATGTGTGCCTGTGTGTCCAAAATCTCAAAGGGACAATAAAGAAGAAGAGTCTGTGGCATAGCCATCCCCCTGGGGGGGAGGTGTGTGATTTCTTGCTTTCTGTCTATCTCTGTCTGTCTCTCAGGTAAGTGTACATGATCTATAGCAAAAATCTTTCCATTAAAAAAAAAAAAGGATATTAAGAAGTAAGTTTTGTACATAATTCTAGATTAAGTATCTTATATATTTGTGTGCATGCATTTAGATTGTATGCATTTTTTTTTTAACTTAAACTAGAAAGCGTGGCCTCACCTTAAAGATAAGCATTTCTTTATCAGAGATGATGAAAGTATGTAATAGTGTGGAAACATCTTTGGACTAAAGTTAGTTGTGAGTTCATCCACTCTGAGTGAACATAGTTCACTCTGTTCCTGGTGTTCCTTCATTATGTTGATGGCTGGTGGTACTCTTCAAATGTTCAAGTGACACAAGACTTGCAGAGATAGTGATCATCACAATAGCCTGGAATAATAATTAAAATCAAGAAGATGAAATTTGGCATGAATGAGCATTAAAAATTTGTTTAATGGGATTGTAACAGACATGTAACAGATCACTCAAAATAGACACATTTCAAAATATCCACAATGTCAAAAATTAAAATGAACTGTACTATTATTGATGATCAACTCATCTCTGAAAATATTCCAAAATATGGAATGATACTGAATAAAATCTGTGCAAAAGACTCTATTTAGTTTTTGAGAATTTATTGGGAATTCAACTGTGACTACAGCTGCCACTCAAGTTGCTAACATACTTCTTTGACATTCGTATACATTGTGTCACTTTCAGGCCACTAGAGTACCCAATTCAGGGGCTCAAAGATTTACAACACTTTGTTATACAAACTGGGATTACCAAAAACGATGAAATTAAACCCAATGTAACAATAGAAAACTTAATAGGCACTCGGTTGTGAATTTTTAATGCCCTTCTCCTTGCATTTCATAGGACAGCAGCTACAGTTGCATTATTCCCATGGGCACACTTTTCATTTCAGTTGTGGTTGGAAACTTGAGTGGCAAATTTCTTATTTATCACCAGGTTTGTACAAAAGTAACCACATCCAAACCATCTACCCAACCAATATTAGTAATGTCCTTTCACTTCCTGATTAAAGTGCAAAGTGCTTTAAACATTCAGTGTAAACACATTTGTTTATTTCTTTCTTAATTTGTGAGGCCACTTTGCTGGCAGAGACTAGAGTAGAGGAATCCAAGATGTATTGATTTCTTTCTTCATGACTATTTAATCGGTTAAAGTGTGCACCACTTGCAAGTGCCAAGATGCTGGTTACATTTTAATAAATGTCCTCTCTGGTCGATCAATACTCCTCAGCCCAAAAATAAATAAATAAATAAAAGTGCTGTTCTCTCATAAGTTAATGGGGAGAAAATCTTTTTACTATCGTCAGTCATCATGACAAACAAGAATATGAAAAGTGTTAATGAAATGACCAACTGTCTATAAAATAAAAGACTTGCAAGACAGTCTCCTTTCTTCCTTTAATTTGATGAAACAAAATGGAAAATTACACTAGTGCCCATCCAGCGTGAAATGATGTTAACAAGCAGAAAACAAATGCTGTAATGAAGGACTTCTAGGATGTACTATGTATAGTCTTCCTTGTAAAGAGGGAATTACTGGGCAGAGCTCTAGCCCTGAGCAACATCCCACCTCCTACTGAGGAGAATCACAGCTATCATCATGTCCCTGGGGAAGTAGTGCCATTCGGCACAATACGACAAATTGATGTTCACAGCATAATAATTATCCATGTGCTGCAAACAATAGGCCACACAATTACCAACCAGGGCAGTGCCCTACACAGGCAAAGTGAAGTGGCACAATGAAGCAATTGTACAGATAATTGAGGCAATAGCCCCACCAAAAAAGGATGTGCACAACTTGTCATTTATTGAGCATTGTTTGGAAAGGAAGAGTTACAAATAACTGAATTTGCTAGAACACCAAAACTTACCATTTAAATATGAAATGTTTCATTTTCAAAATTCACTCATTGTGGATGAATATCTTACCTATAATATAGTATTAATTTCCCTTCTGTGTTAGAGTATATAAATATGATTATATTTGATATCCCTCTCAACTAAACAAACAAAACTTTGGATAAGGAAAGGTAGCCCAGAAATTACTATCTCGGTTAAGAATTTAACCACATGCATGTAACACTTTACGATATTCTAGGACAGGACATAACCTCTAAGTATTCTTGCAGAGTCATGACTCTAAAAGAGTTAACAGGTTCCTATATCAATACTGCAGGTACCAGAGCAGCATAAACAAAACAGATATCATTCCTAGAATTAAATAGGATATAATTATAAATGTTTTAAATGGTTTGATGCTATTTTTGTTGAACTTATGTTTTCTTACTGGGGAATAACATACAGTGGGAAGATTGTAAGATTGAAAAAGCAATGTATTGTCCATGTTATGCACTTGGTGTGAGGTTCAGACTGTCCGGGCATGAACTTCATCCAGCATGTATTCACTGTGTGTTGCTGGAAATATTATTTGAATCTTTTTAGAAGTCTGTATTCTCATCTACAAATTAGGAATAATTATGATCCCTTTATTGTTGTAAGTTTTAAATAAGATCAACTAGAAGAATATTTAGCCCTTTCAATGGCATTTATTAAGAGTTTTCAAGATGTTGGCAATTTAAGTAAAAAAATAGAGAGGGAAATTGGTTACAGAGGTATCCAGAGACATAGATAATAATGATAGCAGGAGAAAGACTATGAAAGGAAAAGTAAAAAGTGCAAAAACTAAAAGAATAAAGAAAGATATAAAGGAAGAGAATTCAGAGAGTACTAAGTCAATTCGAGATCACCATGCCCTTGAATGTAAACAATCACTATTTCAGTATTAATAAACATTTACTGAGCAACATCACTGACTAGACACAGTGCCAGACACCATCAAATTACATGATAGAGTCTATTCCACACCAACCTCTTTGAAGTGGAATTTGTCAATGCCATTTGTAGATAAGGAAATCAAAATGCAGAAAAAATACTGTAGATGATATGGTAAGATTCAAACATATCACTTGAATGTATTATATTTCAGCTCTAAAGCCAACGTGCTTTTCACCCTATCACAGAGCCTACATATATGTTATCCTTCCTCCTCGTGTATCCTCTTTTGATCTACTTTCTCTCTCTCCTTCTGTATTTTCTGAGCACTATGTGTGAAGCACTGAAATGAAAGGGAACTTTAAATTTAATCTCCGCCCTGGAGACTTTATAGTCTATAGGAGGACAAAAGCATGTAAAGAGATGTATGTAATATAACAAAGCATTCTTATTTTTCACATCAGGCTCTCTGCCTAGAATGTTTTCTCTTCCTTTCCAGGTCCCTAGACTCTGTTATCCATCCATCTTTCAACCCTTTGTTCAAATTTCCCTTCATCTGCCTTACTCTACACAGTGACCCCTCTCTTAATAAAACCTTTCATGGCTCTCATAAACTATAATTGATCATTTGTTTGTTTGCTTGTTTTGTTTTGTTTTGACCATAGAGTGCATGTGCTCACTGGAGAGAGAAACAGAAAGACACAGAGAAGGAAACTGAGAAATCACCCTCCTCGGGATGACCAGGCCACAATCCCATCTCTTCCATTTTTCTTCTGGGATTTTGGGCACCCACACACACATGCCCAGCTTGATTTTCAAGTCACTGGATCCGGGACTGGAACTGTAGTTGACTGTGTGAGAGTCCAGCACAGCACCTTAACCTCCACACTATCTGTTGGTCCCCTAAAGAACCTATTAAGAGGGACCAGCAGTCAGCGTAATGGCTATGTCGCTGGATTCCCACGTGATCCACTGCCGTTCGAGTCCTGGACCCGGTATCTTAAACTCACGCTGAGCGAGTGTGCGTGCATGCCCAAGATCCCGAGAGGAGAATGGAGGAGAAGGGATTGCGTCATGGCCATCTCCCCTGGTGTGTGGGGACTGATTTCTTCCTTTCTATCTCTCTGTCTCTCTTTCTGGCGAGCGCACATGCCCTATAGCAAAAACCTCTCCAAAAAAAAGAAAAAAAGAACCTATTAAAATGCACAGTATTTGGCCTTACCTCCAAAGTTCAAGGTTTAATATCTGGGGTGGACCTTGAGAATTTGCACTTTAATAAGTTCCTAGATAATCTTGCTGTTGTTGCTGCTGCTGCTTCAAAGAACATACACTGAGCACAGTTCACTACTCTTCCCACCCCCTAAGCATTTGGCAAGCATTCCCTCAGGCCTTAGCTACTACTGCTCCTTTAACGAATAACCAGTTCCTGTTTTAGCCATTAGTTTCTTGAATCCAAGGGATATTTCTTTTTATTCTTTGTGCATTCCCCCAGGTAGTGGCAAAGTATGCCAGCCAATAGGAGTTCAGGAAATATGTTTAATTTGACTGGTGATTAGTAGCTTGATTTACTGAGAGCTTGGTGGCTGTCTCCCTCTTCCTACTTCCTCCTCTTGGGAAAACTGCACCAAGAGCAGCTATTGTATGTGAACTTGAATTACCATGTGGAAATGGAGGTAAGCATATGTAGATATTTGTATTATCATATCTTTCAAATAAGATCTCTCAAATGATGATACTTACAAACTTTTCCTCTTGCTTATTTGCAGGGTAATACATAGACAGTTGCCTTGGAAACGCTCACTCTGAATATTCTAAATTTTCCATAATGGAAAATCTTGCCTTTACCTTATAATTTACACAGACTTCCTCAATTTTGTGTTTTGCTGAGAATACATAATGAGATCTGAATGCTGATAAATGTCACTTTTGAGGACATAATTATTATATTCATGTATTACCCTTTTCATAAACCCATTTTTGTCAGTCAAGCTTCCGAAGGGCAATTATCTAATAAAAAATAAAATTTTAACTAATGCTATTTAAAGTTGTGTTTTAACTGCCCTCTCTAGAATGTCCATTTCTTTTTTACTAGTACATTTTAAAATATTAGTTTTTTATTATTCCTTCCCTCTATAAGTCAGAATTAAAGTCATCATTTCCATGTTTGGCTTTATGACTTAGGAGTAGCACTATTAGGCAACTTTTTGGGGATATCATTAAATACATACCAGTCTAAACAATTCAGAACATCTGGTTCTAAAAGCTCTGGCTTCATCATTGAAATGATATAACATGGCATAGCACTTAGCATAGTGCCTGGGTTTCAAAAAACAATTTCATTTTTTATTTAAAAAATGAACTTTTCTAAAACTTAATTTTCTAGTTTTTTTTTTTTTCTCCTTCCCTTCACTTCTTTTCTCTTTTCTGCCCTTCTATTCTGAAACAATTCAGTCCCAAAAGCTTTAGGAAAGTCAGAAAAAAAAAATGTTTTCATGCAGAGATGATTCAGAGAAAGTGTCAGAACTTGGGCCAGCCTATGACTTGCTGGTTATATCGGCTGGATCCCAAAAGGCAGACTGTGGTTTATGTCCCAAACCCAGCAGCTTGAGAAACATGCTGGGCGAGTGTTTGTGTGTGCCCAAAATGCCAAAAGGTGCCAAAAGGGAAAGTAACTGTGGCATGACCACTTCCCGTGGGAAGGGTTTTCTCACTTTCTCTCTCTCAATCTCTCTCTCTGCTTCTCCCTAGTGAGCACACATGTCCTCTTGTTAAGTGGAAAAAAAAAAAAAAAGGAGAAAGTGTTGAAACTCAAATAGAATGAGTAGTGTCTCTGTAAAAAAGGGAAGCCCAACATAGGAAGTCACTCCTCAATGTTAAGAAAAGGATGTCCACACGCAGTGGATCAGAGGCTGACTTGGGGTCAGAGCCTAACCAGAGAGGAAGAGCATCCCCATAGCTGGGTGTTGAATTTAAAATGTGGTGATGAGAGAATTCATGGTGTCAGAATCCAAACAGGACAAGCCAGGTAGGGAGTGATGGTAACTCTACTCAAGGTACCAGAGCTTGAGTGGGAGGCTTTGGCTTCTGCATGGGAATGGGGAACATGGCAGGGGTGAGAAAAATATACTAGTGACAATGCAAACCAGATTTCTCATAGTCAATGAAGTACATTTATTTATACAGAAAGAGAAGAGGTTATGATATACTGGATAGAAAAGAATGTTTACAAAGCACTTATTAGAATTTGATGAATATTTAGAATACATCAAGTATGCAATGCTCCCCTTCTAGAAGCAAGTATCAACATATCAAGAGTAGTTATCTTGGGACCAGCAGTTAGCGTAATGGCTATGTCACTGGACTCCCATGTAATCAACTGTGGTTCGCGTCCCGGACCCGGTGGCTTGAGACTCACGCCGGGTGCGTATGCGTGCGTGCCCAAGATCCCGAGAGGAGAATGGAGGAGAAGGGATTGCAGTATGGCCATCCCCCCTGGGGGGTGATTTCTCGCTTTCTGTCTCTCTGTCTCTCTCTGTCTGTCTAGCAAGCACACGCGCCCTATAGCGAAAACCTCTAAAAAAAAAAAAAAAAAAAAAAAAAAGAGAATTTTTTTAGGGGGGACAAAAAAAAAAAAAAAAAAAAGAGTAGTTATCTTCATGTGATGATTTAGTGATCTTATTATTATTTTCTTCTTCATTGTTGGTTATTTTATTTCCTACAATATTCATGTTTAATTCCTGTAATACTCATATTTGTTCCATGCTTTGTGGTGTTTATTAGGCTTCTGAAAGGTTCTTGCAGTACACACATGATCAGCATCTTCTCTACTTTTGAGGAGAGCAGAAGCCAGGTCTTCTGAATTCTAAAATAAGGGATGTCAGAAGTAATATTTTTAAGTGTTGCTTGGACAAATTTAACGTGCTTGTCATTACATTCTCATAGCTAAGACATGGTCCAGTGTAATACTTTTTTCATTGACAAGTGGAGGCATCTGTATGAAAATGGTTCAATGGGCCCTGATTGATTATATATATTTAAAGTGATTAAATTTTATACCATACAAGTGAGATAATGGCAATGGAAACAAAAATGTATATTCTTATTGATCTAAGGAGAATAAACATAATAATAGCCCACTAGTAACTATGTTTGATACCTCTAGACTTCAAGAACTTTTCTGAGAATCTATGATAACTTTGAAAGTTGATTCTGCATTTTTACAAATGGATAGTTTGGCATCATAGGCCAGAACAGGCAGAATCACCTTTGGTTATATCTATAGGACATAAAGTAAAGTGGAGAATTGGGAGTTTTTAGGATCTAATTTGATCTATATAGATAACCAATCCAGATAATAAGTCCTTTGGGTGAGTTATTTGTATTGAATTATCTGGTTTGGCCATCTACATGTAAACATAGATCAAATTAATAGGATAATTGTCAAACTTGTTCTTCACCTTGTGATGTGTGGACTTGCTCTCAGGACGTAATTGGTACTCTGGGAGAGTCTAGCTCAAAACTGAGTAAACAGTAACAATAACGGATGGAGATTTTGCTGAGTCTAGTAGAAAATGCAATTCGTTATGGCTATACCCCCAAACCAGGCTTCTCCACCTAAAGTTCTTCATCTTTGGTTTCTATATTGCTACTATAAAAGGAAAATAATGTAGATTGTTCAATATTAATTGTGTGGTTTGGTCAAGTTAATACAATTAACAATTTTCAGGACCTGCAGATGGTGTAACAGTTACATCACTGAACTCCTATGTAATGGACCACGGTTTGAGTCCTGGACCCAGAAGCCTAAAACTCATGCCAGGGGTGTGCGTATGTGTGCTCAAGATCCTGACAGGAGAATGAAGGAGAAGGGATTACCCTGTGGCCATTCCCCTTAGAAAGGGAATTCTCACTTTCTCTCTCTGTCTCTCTTTCTGTCTCTTGGATGAACACACATACCCTATAGCAAAAACTCTCTCAAAATAAATAAAATTAACAATTTTATCAGTTTATTTTTGTTGTACCATAAAAATATTACTTAATTATTTTCCTTTTGATATTGTTTTATCTTGTCCCTTAATGTGTCTTATTTATTTTTAATTTTTTGCTTTTCCACTTAATCTTCTTTATTTTATATCACTTTCTCTATTCTGCTATTTTACTTTTGAGTGTGTTTTCTCAAGCTCTGTTACCTCTTTGTTCTCAATACATTTTTACCATTGTTCTATAACAAAAACAAAAAGCATCTAGAAAGATGACTAAGAGGGTCCATTAGGAACTAAGCAAAAAGGCATGCATGTTATATCTTGGTCAACTTTTTCTTCTTTCTATCATAGCAATCCCCTATTTTCCATACAGTAGATTATAAATCCAATTTTAAAAGAAAACCGATCCTGGGACCAGCAGTTAGCGTAATGGCTATGTCGCTGGAGTCCTATGTAGTTGACTGCGGTTAGAGTCCCGGTGGCTTAAACTCACGCTGGGCACATGTGCGTGTGTGCCCAAGATCCTGAGAGGAGAATGGATGAGACGGGATTGCAACATGGCCATCCCCCCTGGGGGGTGATTTCTTGCTTTCTGTCTCTCTGTCTCTCTCTGTCTGTCTGGTGAGCGCACGCGCCCTATAGCAAAAACCTCTCCAAAAAAAGAAAAAAGAAAAAAGAGAAAACCGATCCTGTATTCATTGAATTTATCTGCAAAATTGGAAGGGTAAACATTTTTTTTATTTTCATTTTTTTCTCTTTTTTAGCATAGAATTTTGGTTTCATAGCAAATCCTATGTAAAGATGAAGTATATAGCATTAGCAATCACCTGAACTTACTGAATCAAGCTGTAGGTGCTGATGGCAGAGTGTGTGGAAGGTCTAGACACCTACCTACGGTAGGTCTCTGCCTTGAGTTACTACCCCTGTGACTAGTTTGTTTGCTTACTTGATTTTTCTAATCCTAAAATCTATATCAGAATCTATTGATGTGCAGGACCAGTAGTTGGCTATGTCCTTGGACTCCCATGCAGTTGACTATGGTTTGAGTCTCAGATCCAGTGTCTTAAACTCACTCTGGGCGCGTGTATGTGCGTGCCCAAGATCCCAAGAAGAGAATGGAGGAGAAGGGATTGTGGTGTGGCCATCCCTCTTGACAGGTAATTTCTCGCTTTCTGTCTCTCTGTCTCTCTCAGTCTTTCTGGTGAGGGCACATGCCCTATAGAAAAAAACTCTTAAAAGAGAGAGAGAGAGAGAGAGAGAGAGAGATAATTTAGTGGTGATCAAATTTGAATGTACCTCAGAATCAACTAGAACCCTTACTAACAGACACATTCTGGCCCAGCCATAGTGGACCCATTGTAGTGTGCCTCTTTACAATTCTGAGGGCCATATGGTAGATTAGGGTTTGAGTCCTGGCTTGACCTGTGTCTATGTTTCTGGCTAGTTTAGAAGGATGGGAGAGAATTATGATGTGAGATCCTGTTGAGAGTCTTTTTTTCTCTTTCTCTGTCTCTGTCATGATTAAAATAAAATGAAAAGAAATAATAAAAATCCTTATATCTCACCCTCAGAGAATATGACTGAGTATGTCTAGGGAGGGGAACAAGAACTTCTGCTTTTGAGCAAGCTCCCAGATGCTTCTGATACTGTGGTCCAAGGACCAGACTTCGAATAAGCTTGGATTAGACTAT